TGAATACAAATCTTTTATTATTGGGTTGATCTAAAAAAAATAAATAACTGTTGTCCTCAAAGGCACTGAGCACAGATAGTCAGTGCTTAATATTTGTTTCCTTTGTTTGCTTGCTTCTATATTCAAAAAAAAAAAAAAGCAAGAAAAAGGAAAAAATCCTCCAGACTAAATCTTATCCTCATATACAGTCAGGAAGCAGCTCTTCCCTGGTCCTTACTTGGGAAAATCCCTCTTGTCAGGGCTTTTGTCAAGTGAAGTGTTAAGCTGTCTCTAAATAGTGATACTGATCTCTCAAAGAGGCTGCCAAGCCCTTGGTTTTCTAATGGGTTTGTGTAGCTCATGCACACAACTGATTCCTGCATGATTGCAAGCCTCTTAGAAATCCCGTGAGAACCTGGAGAACTGTGGTGCTGGTAGCTTCATTACTTCCCTAAAATATCCAAGACTCAGCTCTGACAAGTTTGCTCTTCCCACGTGTCTTTGTATATATTTTTTTAATGTATGAAATATCTCCTGGGTTGTCTCTAGGACATGTTTTTCTGCTCAGGGTTCGATGGGAGTTGAAAGTATGAATCAAGAAAGTCTCAAGAAGCCTGGTGCATGTGCATGTTTGTAGGGGGTAAGCAAGCTGGCAAGCAGTTGAGATTCTTCTACTTGCTCTGTGTTAATGGCTTTATGAGCAAGCTGCTTGGCTTAAATGTGCTGAAATTCCTACTTGGCGTAAGCCATGTGGAAGGGGCTGTGGGGGAGCCTGTGGTGGGACCTGGCCCTGCTGCCCACGGGCCTCCTGGGTAGGGGCCGGCTCCTCATCCCTTCTCTCAAAAGCGCCAGGACCTTCAGGTGCTTAAACAGCACTGGAAGCCATGGGCATTTAGGGGTCAGTGGTTTGGACTTGGCATCAGTGCTTTGGGTATGTTGCTCTCAAAACTGCTTTTTAAGCCTTGCTCAATGATGCGTTTGGCCAGGATGTTTAATAACAGTTTCATAATCTCTAACATGCCAAAAGTAGCAGTTGTAACAAAAATGAGAATGGGAACAGTGTACACACATGTGCACAAACATATCTGCTCTATTCCTTTGAAAGCAAGGAGTGAGTTGAATTCCAGTCCAGCACCTGGGGCCAGAATAACGAGACTATTTTTAACGTGTAGCTTAAGCTGGAAGCAAGTCCTCAGAGTGGGAAAGCGTTAGCCAAAATACATATGTATTTTGCTCAAAGCTATAACTGCATCTGTGATGAATTTGTAAGGAGATAGTCTAAGAAACAATTTCTTAGACTATCAGGCCTATGTGGAAGGGTAGTTACACTTCTCAGGAAATTTTTAATAATGGAGATAAATAGTAATGGTCAGTTAACTATAGTAAATGCAATTTTAGGGAGGAACAGTTAAATACAAGGGCAGGGGGAGGACAAAAGACTCTCAATATGTCAATATTAACTCTTAAATGTTGCCAGTCTTTGAATCCAGTGACAGGCATGCCTACCTGGGTAGCAGTATCTTTCCCTGTGTGTAACTTGGGCAAACAGTTATTGCTGCCTAACACTTCAGTTTTTAGCAACAGCAGTTGCATGAAGTATTGGAAAGCTGTCCTGAAGATCCCCTTGCTGTACTGATTTGTGCCTTACAGGTCTCTGCTTGATTATTTTGCTGTTCTAGACTCCTGTTTCCCTTTTTGAGATTCCAAACGGTGGTTTGTGAGACTGAGCCCTCCCCTGTGGTATGAAGCCTGTTCAGTGTTCCCTGCCCTTGCTGTTTCTCAGTGCCCCTTTGCCCCCCTTCCCATGTGGAGTGGTGACTTAGCGGTGGGGCAGTATTGTAAGAGTGCTGGGAAGCAATGCATGGCCTCAGACTTGAATCTTGGCCATGATGAGCCTTGAGATGCCGTGGCTGGAAACACCCAAAAGCTGAGACCAACCATTGAACATTAGGACAAATGTCTTGGCCTGATAAATCCATTGAGGACTTGTCATCCACAAAAGCAAACCATTTCTCTTGAAATCTTCTCCTTGGAAGTATGTGTGTTTGTGCACTCCCTACATGGATCAGGCTTGAAGAGCACTGAGAGCAGAAGCTAAGCTTTGGGGACAGCTTAGGACAGGTTGGACTGAATGAACTGAGCTTATTTAGAAACATAGCTGGAAAGGCTGAACAGAAGGCATCAAGGAAAGAAAGGAGACAAATGTGACTTGGAAAGGTTTAGGACTGGACTGAAATACCTGACTGCTCATCAAATGGAAGGGAGAGAAGATGGCAAGATCCAAACAGTTTTGAAAGGGAAAGAAGGGCTTCTGAGTGATAAGAAGCTCTGCAGCCAGCAGTGGGCAGGAGCAGCAAAAAGGCCAGTGATTTAGACTTAGCGCACACTCTTTATTTTGGTTATGATAAACCTCAGATACCTCACTGTTAAGACAGCAATTAATAAAGTGACACCTGGCTTTAAAAAACAGCATGCCCAAGAGCTGCCTCTTAAACAAGGTTTGGGCACGAGTGACCTGACAGAGTTTTGCTGTCTAGTGCACAGAGGGGAATCGCAGCGTGAAGACCAGTGGAGAGGAACGTTCCTGCTGCTCCTGGCTTCCCGGCTGGAGACCGTGGCCCGCTCCACACGGAAGCAAAGGGCTGCTGCCTTGAGGGCAGGTTGCTTGCTCTGTGATTAGATGAGATGGGTTTTGACAGAACATCATGTTCTGTTTAACAGCCAAACTCCTGTGCACAGGGCCCTTTCCTAAAGGAACAGGAGAATCCTGTTGCGTCTTTTCAAAGCTCCTCCAAAATCCTTGCTGACCCCCAGACCTCACCGTCTTGCCTCCCGATCCTGACCGGTTTTTACTGCCACCACTTTGTGCTGCGGTCCTTGCTCATGTGTCCCCTCCTCCTGTACTGCTGGTCTTCCACCCCTTCCCTCACGAGGCCTCTCGGGGAGTAACTGGTAGCTCATGCGGGAAGGCTTCAGCTGCCTCTGTTCTGAAGGGTGCTCTCCATAGAAGTTCTGGTATCAGGCAGGGTGGAAATGTGCCTTCCTCCTTCAAGTGACATTTTGTGATCTTTGTATATAAAGAGCAAAACGAACAGTTGATGTTCTGACAGGCTAAGGGCAGAGGATTAACGGTGTATTGTAGCTGCAGTCACATAGATCTTCCTGTTCCTCCTCTGTTGTTGTTCTTCTGGTTGTTATTGAAGTCATTTGTAGGGTATCCAAGCAAGTTCATCCAGAATATAAATGCCCCAAATTAAAGAGGCAGATAGAAGAAAACATTAAGTTTTCCAAGTGGACGTGACCTCTGTTGCTGTAAGCAGGGTCATCGTCTTTGAGCTCCAGTTATTTTTGGCAGGAGCAGAGTGCAGAGAAGGCCTGCTCTGGACAGAGTGCGATGCGGCTGCCAGCCCTGCAATTAGCCCGAAGGCTGCTGGGCTGAGGGGAGGTCACGCAGCTC